CAACTTTCAAGCTCCTGAGAGGTAGGAAGGCTGGGGTGATTCCCATTTTACAGCTGAGGAGACTGAGGCTCAGAAGGTTTTACAGGGCTTTCCCAGAGTTAGTGGTGAATTTGGGACTAGAACTCAGAGTTTGCCTCCAATCCGAGGTTCCCTGCCACTACGCTGCCTATGAGGACACGCTGTCTGTGGTTCTGTAATCTCTGAACTGAATAAAATCATCTGATCCCAAGAGGTATGCATGTACAGGGCCCTGTGCTGGGCTTGTAGAGAAAAGAGGATGGTCCCTGTCCTCAGTGAGCTCATGGCCCAGGAAGGAAGGTGAGCAGCCTAAGGCAAAGGAGACAGAGATGCAGGGCTAAGGGAGGGCGGAGGGGTGAGACACTCCCAGTACACGGCTTCCTTGGAGAGCAAGGAAGCAGCTTTGTTTCGGGCAGGTGGAGTCTGAGACGCAAATCACACAGCAGGGAACTGCTAAGCAGGAGCTGCTGGAGAGTGGTCTGGACCCTGGGCCAGAGATGCCACATGGGAGTCAAGCCTAGGAACAGCTGAAGCAGAGGGAGCAGAGGGAAGGCTGGAGATACGGGGAGCCGAGGAAAGCCTTGTGGCACCAACACTGTCCCTTCCTGGCGGGAGGAGGCAGTGGAGCTGGAGGATGGCAGCTCACACGAGCAAGATGGACAGGAAGCAGGAGGACAGGCCGCTTGCTGACACCGAGGTGGACAGCGCGGGCTGGGGGTGTGGTCACATGACCTTTTCAGAGTACCCAGATGCCCATTTGAAGAAGGGGCTGCAGAGCTCCCCAGGACGGCCCAGGAAATGCAGCTACAGTCAAAAGACAAGGGGGTGGCAGAGTGTCTGTGTCGGCCAGAGCAGCACTGAGATGTCTGCTGCAGGTCCCTCCTTGAGGTGGACACCACGGAGGCCAAGAGGGGAGCAGACAAGGGGAGATCTCAGGAACCAGGACTGTCTGGGGGGCGAGGGAGGGAAGGCGGGTAGAGGACTGGGGGGAGTGAAGGTGGGGGATGTGGAAGCCCAGGGCACGGCACACAGTATTCCCTAACTGCCGTTAGCTCCGTAGACATTTGCAATCTCCTTCGAGGATGCAGACGGCATGCAGGGCATTTTGCTTGCTCAGGGCAGAGGGACAAAGAGCCTAATGGACAGTACTGAGATGGTCTCAATGACGGAGACAGGGGAGGCCGCCCAGGGTGGCTCCGGTGCCAGTGACAATCAGCACTGCCCTTCACCACCTCCAGAGCCCGAGGTGTCTGCTAATGCCATTCTTGGCTCAGCATTGGGCTCTGCGCAAACCGAGTCCTCAGCTCAACTCCCCTCCACCCGTCTTCCCTGCAGTGCAGGTATCAGATTCCACTTCTGTGAGCTCGTTCCAGTATGGCCTTCTTACTTAGTTGGGTGATTTTCACCAAACCACAGAAAAGCAGAGCGCAGCCCTCCACGCTTGGCTCTTGGACGGGCCTGTTTTGTAGCAGGTTACACAGGGCCCTATGAGCTGGCACAGTTTTCACAGTAAATTGATAGCTGCTTCCACTGATCCCCAGTAGTCACAGACCTTCCAGAGGCCTCGGAACCTCCCTATCATCTTGGAAATCAATGGGACTACTGCACGGAGGGGAGGACACAGCCTGCCCCAGGCCACGTGCTGCAGGCACTCCCAGGCACAGTCCTGGCTGTGCGCAGTGATTTGTTTACCAAGAGCTCAGCAGGTACTGGTATGAGTAGGGGAAGGGGCAGAATAGAGACAGATCAGGTGTGATTCCCGTTCTCCAGGAACTAGCCAAGAGCTAGGAAGACAGACTTGAGTTCACAATGGGGATGCTGGTCTGGGGGCACAGAGATAGAGGCCCATGTAGGGGACACCTTACCAGCTATGCCTGGTGAGACCACCTTCGAGGTCCCTCCCCATCCTGAAGGACATGATTCCCAGAGTTTGGGACAAACAAAAGAACAAGAGCCACGTGCCACCCTGCATCAGCAGCAGGGAAGAGAAGACCCCAAACAGGGTCATCATTTAAGAAACCAAGACCCACTGCCCGAGGCTGCCTCTGTTCCCTCCCCTCTCACCAAACTCACAGGCGCATCAGGAGAGCTGGCTTCTGTAAAGAGCATCTCCTCAATCTTTTCTTTGTCTAGGAGCTGGGGAGGCTAACGCTGCCAAATCGATGCTTCACTGTCTTATTTTCCAACTCCCCTTCTCTGACCCAACAGGAGGCCTGGAGGCAAAGCATCCCCCCATGCCTGGGATAACTAGCAAGGACAGCCATCCCCCGCTAGTGGTGTCGTGGGCGTGTGCCAACAGCCCACCAGCTCCCTAGGCCAGGAACCCATCTCTCTTCTGGCTGCCCCCACTGGGCTGCTGGGAGGCTGCAGGCTGGATTCACGGTGCGGTCCCGGGGTGGGGAAGCTTCCATTTCAGTGGATGAACCTGGCCTGGCCCAGAGCCTCCTCCCACTTCCCGCTGACAACCAAGGCTGAGATTCCAAAGCCATATTTTCTCCTCTCTGTGCAAGGGTTCTAGCAGTGGACAGCCATCCCCAACCCCACTATGTCTGAGTGCAAAGAGAAAGCTCTCTGGACAGCAGAGAATCTGGAGGGCAGGAGCCTTGTTGGTCTCAAGCTCTGCCTCAGCTGCAGGGGGAGCTGGAGTTCAGCCCCAGGCAGAGGCCAGGAGGCCACTGGTCAGAGGGCATGAGGGTGGGTTTCTGAGGATACAGCAGTCCCAGGGCCGCTATGGCCTGTGCTCACTCAGCACTAGGCCCTATGTGTTATGCAGATGAAGCTTGGACTTTTTTTTTTTTTTTTTTTGAGATGGAGTTTTACTCTTGTTGCCCAGGCTGGAGTACAATGGCGCAATCTTGGCTCACTGCAACCTCCGCCTCCCAGGTTTAAGCAATTCTCCTGTCTCAGTCTCCTGAGTAGCTGGGATTACAGGCTTGTACCACCATGCCTGGCTAATATTGTATTTTTAGTAGAGATGGGGTTTCTCCATGTGGTCAGGCTGGTCTCGAATTCCTGACCTCAGGTGATCCACCTACCTTGGCCTCCTAAAGTGTTATGATTACACCGTGCCCGGCCCTGGTGATGGCTTTCTATACGGAGCTGGACTCCCGACCTTAGGTGATTTGCCCGCCTAGGTCTCCCAAAGTTCTGGGATTACAGGCATGAGCCACTGCGCCCAGGCTGCAGCTTGGACTTCTAAAGGCTCAAGTCCCACATGGACATACGAGGCTGGGCCAGCTGGGCCTCCACTGTCCTGGATCCCAGAGCCCACTCCCCTGCCCTCCAGCCTGCTTCACTCCAGGCCCGGCGCCTGTCCCTTCAGCAGCATCAAACGTGGCAAACGTCGCCGACCCCAGCTCCAGGCCTCCTTGCCTCAGCAGGCACATTCCTGGCCTGCCCGGTGGGAGCTAAAGTGGATCCCAGATTGCAGATTCCATTCACAAGATTTTGCCCTCCCAAGGCAGGCCAGGTTCCCCTGTGTTTCTGGCTGCCTGATCCTGCTTGGAGAACCTGGAATCTAAATTTTAAGCCAGGCCTCTAAACCCAAGGAAGTAATCAAATGGCTATGTAGATACATATGCAACCATATTTGTTGTGCTGTTATTTGTCATAGTAAAATATTTGAAATATGCTAAATGTCCATCACTAGGGCATGAAGTGAGTCATGTATGCTATTATATCCACAGAGTAGACAGTCTGTGAAAATGGTGATACAGATTTCCATTTCCTGATATACAAGATGCCTTGACACATTGCTGAATCTGAATAACATGCCCCCCAGACAGCACCCACAGTCGAGCCTGTGTGCATGTGTGTGCCTGTGGTGTACTCTTTACGTATGTGCATAAGTAAAAGCCTGGAAAGAAACACTAAAATGGTTATCTCTGGGCAACAGGATTCTAAGTCATTTATGTATTTTTAGCTACTATCCTTTAAAATCCCTTTATAATGACCAAATAACATTTTCATATTTAATAATACATTTTAATAACAAAACTTAATTATAAAACTTAATTACAGTTTTTAATGAGGTTAAAGGCCACCTAGCTGCTGGCCATCCCCAGATCTAACCTCCTGGGGAAAGCCAAGACCTAGGTAAGCAAGGAAGAGTCACAGGGATTCTTTGATGGGGCGCCGTGGCTCACACCTGTAATCCCAGCACTTTGGGAGGCTGAGGCGGGTGGATCACTTGAGGTCAGGAGTTAGAGGCCAGCCTGGCCAACATGGCAAAACCCCTTCTCTACTACAAACACAAAAATCAGCTGGGCATGAGAGCATGCGCCTGTAGTCTCAGCTACTTGGGAGGCTGAGGTAGGAGGATCACTGAACCCAGGATATAGAGGCTGCAGCGAGCCAAGACTGTGCCATGGCACTCCAGCCTGGGCAGCTGAGTGAGCCTCTGTCTCCAAAAAATAAAATAAAATAAAATAAAAAGAGTCATATAGAGAGATTCTTTAAAATGGCTTAGCTGGGCCGGGCGCGGTGGCTCAAGCCTGTAATCCCAGCACTTTGGGAGGCCGAGGCGGGTGGATCACAAGGTCAAGAGATCAAGACCATCCTGGTCAACATGGTGAAACCCCGTCTCTACTAAAAATACAAAAAATTAGCTGGGCATGGTGGCGCGTGCCTGTAATCCCAGCTACT